TCACGTGCACAACGTTTAATTTCCTCAATTAGACATAATTGTCTTAGTTTGTCGAAACTATCGCCAATATGCATCGAATTACACCATCAATCAGAATAAACCTCCTTTTCGTGGGCAAACTCCATATAAGTTTATCTTGTTTGTGATAACCTCTAACGTTTTGGTGATAAGCCACCAGTACTAACTCGTATGCTTTGAGAATAGCTGTTTTAACCTTATCATAATTTGTACAATCTTCTAAAGAGAAAGTGGCATAGGCTTGTTGTGCTTTACCAGTTAAGACACTTTGTAATAATAATGGCCATTTTTCAGTGAGCCATTCCATGGTTTGGGCAATTTTCTCAAAATGTTGGAAATATTTATCTACTTCATTTTCCTTGAATGGTGGTACTTTAACATATCGATTAAGTCCAAAGTTGTTATTTTACCTTGGTTGATCGCAGTTAAGTCTAATTTCCATTTCTATCAGCCTAATTTCTTTTTCGGCTTTAATACGAGCTTGTTCTTTCTCAGCTTCAATACGAGCTTGTTCTTCCTCAGCTTCAATACGAGCTTGTTCTTCCTCAGCTTCAATACGAGCTTGTTCTTTCTCAGCTTCAATACGAGCTTGTTCTTTCTCTTTCTTGGCTTCAGTACCAGTTTGTTCTTTCTCAGCTTCAATATGAGCTTGTTCGTTCTTTTTCTTGGCTTCAATATGAGTTTATTCTTTCTCGGCTTCAATTCAAGTTTATTCTTTCTTGGTTTCAATACGAGTTTGTTTGAACTCAATTTGTTTGAGCTTTAGCTGAATCTCTAATCTATCTTTATCACTCAACCCCGATTGGCTAGTAGGAACACTAGAGTATTCCCCTAATGCCTCCTCAGGCAACAATTCATCATTGGCTAGTATTTCGATAATATGCTTTTTAGTTCATTATTTCTCATTGACCTTTTAATTTCTAGTTCTAAAACTTTGGAAATATGAGCAATTCATTTTTGTTATATTTTTCTAGTTGTTCTAGGGAAGGTGATACAAGAAAATCTTGATAATCCAACATGATCAAATCCCGTTGGCACTGATAAATATAAATTCATTCCAAACAAGCTTGTCATTAAAATAAAAATATAACAAATTCGTTACATGCAATACATATCTGACACTATAAGCTACACATATTTTTAAATACAAATTTAATCTAAACAACGTTCGTATTAAAAATAAATACATAACAATAAATTTGTTACATCACTCCTCTGTATAATCTAGCAACAATGGTTGGGATAGCTACAAGAGGTAGGTGAAAACCCTCAGATGAAGAGACTGCCAGATCATGCAAATAATGTGTGATAAAGTTATTGGGGAAGGTCCACTTACCAGTCCACACAATGACCTCCAGCAGGCACTTTGGCTGTGCCTCTAAGGACATAGAAATCTAATGAATCTGATGTGACTCCCAGAAGTCTCCTCGCCTTCAAAGAAAGCCCAGAATAAGCAAAATGGATCAATTTCATACCCACCTCATCAATGTAACTGTGGGTAGAACCTGGGAACACTGAAGGATCCCAGTGAAAAAAATCCTTGTCTAGCACCTCTAAAGGCATTAGTATGGGCAAAGACCCTCACTGGACATAACAAATGATCAAGGTCTGATCAGTCATAGAAGTGAAATATAGTGATCAGATGAATCAGTGAAAAGGAGTTATCCCCTTCCCTGGCTGCCAGTGTCTTTGGGAAGAAGAACCAGTCTGAGGATGTAGGTAGAATGATAAAGCATCCTATACACAATCAGCACCAACAACTCCGACTGACGACATGTGCAGGTCAGCAGCAAGGAAAATTAAGTCTTCAGGGAAAGGTGATACATGGTACATGAGTCTAAGGTCTCAAACAAATGTTGAGAAAGGGCATGTAATCCTACCTTAATATACCAGTCAGGTAACTGAAACAGTCGTTTGGGACGAAGGACCCAAAATGACGCGAGGAAGCTGGAGAGTACTGGTGACTCAAAGAATTTTCGTCTTGAGTATCAAAAGGTAATCGATAAGGCCGCCGTTTTACACAGTGACTGTGGAAGATGCAAATCCCTTGGCAAAGATCCAGGTCAAAAACGTTTTATGGTTGGCACTTCTGATTGAAGTGGGTTCAACCTCCTCTCAATACACTATTGCTGATATGTGTGCCATTTTCCTTAATAAATGTCCATCATGGGACTAAGCAAATACAGAGACAGATACATGGCAACCTTAGAAATTAAACCCCCAATGCCATGTGAAAGACTGCATAACCTCCATGATCGAAGCTTCAGATTCTGGATAGCCAGGTGTACAATGTCAGATCATGCTACCTCAACAGAGATGGCCAAACAGGAAGTGGAAGAGGTAGGCACTCCTTAAGGTACCACAGAAACAGAAACCAGGGTTTAGCTGCCAATCTGGTGCTATTAACAGGACCCAAAAATGGGTTGGAACAAATCATAGTTAGTATCTTCGGTAACATATGAATTGGTAGGAAGGCTTAAAGATGTAATCCAGTCTTGTCCTGATGGAATGAATCTACTGCCAAAACCTGAGGGTGAGGTTGCCAGTAGTTGGGTGTTTCATTGAATGGTCAACACACTAATCATCAGTGTTTCAAAAATAGAGCCAATCCAACAGAAAAAAAATCTCACGATGCAGCATCCATGCTGTCGAGAGAATCTGTTATGGTTAAGACAATTGATCTCCCACCAAAATCATCACCCATAGAACATGGCAAGCTAATAGTGATATGATGACTGGATGCCAATCTCCTGTCTTCTTGGGCTCAAACCGATGGGAATAAAGTTGGCATGACTTTCTCTCTGCCCCCAGACCAACAAACTCTGATAATCTTAGAACTAAATTACAAAATCCGAGTATCTGCAGGAGGCAGAAACACTACAGGTTGGGTGGATAATGGTGGTGAAGATGTGAGCTGAATGACTAATCCCGACTCAAGGATCGGTGGTTAGGGTTTATCATATGTCCAGAAATTCTCAGAGTCAAGCCTCCACAGACCCCAAAATAGTCACTAATGCCATTTTCAGCATTCTAATCAAGCAACGGAACCTTTGGATATGGACAGAATCTATTCTGGGTAACAAGGGACCAAGGGGCTGATGTCGGAACCCTCAAACAGAGGTAAAAATATGACCCCCTGTTGGAGCCAAGGAAAGTCGAGATGCCAACAACAACAGGAATGAATGTAGGAGCTGACCTGACAATCGAACCAATGTGCATACTAAGAATGGTCCCAACTAGTCATTTCTTGACGTGGTAATCCTGAAAGTTTTCCAACAAGTTTAGAAGGTTGATAATAACACAGAACCAGATATGGGAAAGATGAATCCTAAAAAGTTTAGATCCATTCAGGTTAACTATAGACTCTGTTCTAGAGCCCCAAATTTCCAGGAGCAGAGGTATTCTTTGAGAGTCGGAATATGCTTCCACCTAGCAGTGGTAGACTAAATCACATAGTTTCAACAACTGTGGCTGACAAGGCATAGCTGTCCCTTCATGTAACTGAGTAGTAAACCTCCCTTCATGAACCACAATATCAGTGGATGGAAGGAGAACTCAGTATTTGTTCCCAGCCCTTTCAGCCATCAAGGAAGGTGCAGGCTCAAAAGCAACTGGGGAAAGATCCAAAACATCACACACTCGATAGACCAACTGAAGAAAAGGAGACTGGGGCAGCTGATCCCTAAGTGGCCTCCTGAGAAGCCAGCAGAATAAATGAAGAGGCAGGAAAAGGCAAATCTAAATTCTCTCCAGAATGTCCAGAATCACCCTCGATTGCAGCCTCAGAGCCCCTGGAGAAACACCACTGAACTGAATATATGATATATGATATCACTACGAATGATATCACTGACAATTTTTTTTTTATGAAAATCAACTAGGTGACAAGAAAAACACCTTTCGTACAGTAATAGTTGTAGAATTGTTTCCTTGTGTTTAGTGTGTTTTGATATCACTAAATGATATCACTGACAATTTTTTTTTTTATGAAAATCAACTAGGTGACAAGAAAAACACTCAAAGTATCTCCAACTATCATAGTAGTGGAAAATCTGTCAGTGAACACTTTGTCAAGAAAAACTGATAATATTATCTGAATGAGGTACTTATATAGAGTACCAAAATAGAGGGTGCATTGACATAGGTGAAGAGTGTCACATGACAGATACTGCCATGGGCAATAAAGTGGGAAATAAAAGACTGGAGCAAGTGAGAAAAATTAATACCAATGCTTAGATGGGCAAAGGAAGGAAATCCTGGCAGTCAAGTAATAGCTGTAGTGTGAAAGAAGGTAAGTACATCCTGGAATTTAAGGTACTGATGTTCTTGAAACACATTACCAGCAAGTATTTTCATTCCAAACAAGAATTCAAAGCTCAAACATTCAAGCAATTGTTTCACTAACTTATACTTAGCACACTAAGTTAATATAAAGTTAACCAACTGGTTGAACTAATTTTGCTGACTTGTTGAACACTTTTTTCTCAAACTTCCTTCTGAATCATGTCATTGCTGATATAAATTTAGGTCTTGAATTAAAATGTAATACTTTGCCTTTTTTTTTTTTTTATTACATGTTGATTTTGAAATGTGACTGAAAACAATGCCAGAGAAAAATGGCATTTTAATAAATATTCAACAATGAAAAATGTTAAGCTTGTAACAGTATCATAAAGGATAACATATTCTACAAATCCTAAATAAATACAGGTTCACTGTAGTGAGTGAAATACAACATACACATAAGAATAATAACAAGATTTCCTTGTGGAACAAATAAATTAAATTCCATATTTTAATTGCATTATTATGAATTGCAATTGACATTAGTTGCATACTTGAGTTACTGAAAGCATTCAAATTTATTTTTTTCATTTAAACTATTCATGCCAAATTATGATTTCAGTCTCTTAAAATCAGTGTAGCTTTAAGACACTTGTCAATCAACTTTTAATTTTCGTAAGGGAATAAAATATGCTAACCTTTGAAGATGAAGGGCTTATAATATCTTGCATTATGTCATGACCAGTTTTTGGATCAACAACTTGAAGGATTTTTTTCTCTCTTCTCTCTGTTGTTCCAGCACCACTATGGATCATTGGTGACAATGTACTTGGCACAGTAGCCAAGTTTGTGTGACCCAGAGGAAAATACACTAGAAGTATTAAGATAAAACTCAAACCTAATAAGTGTAGATATTAATCAAAAAATTAGACTGTTTGACTAAATCAACAGTCAGCAGTATCATTACCAAAACAGAGCAATTTCCTTAAGACCAAATTTTTCTTTCTTATCCATTAACACGATGTCTAATGAAGATGGTTCAGACACTGTTTGACAACTTAAACAAAATTGATTTTTCAATGCTATTTGTAAACAAATTTCACTCTTAAAACCTATATTCCAAAAAATTAAAGAATCAGCTTGTTTCTAATACATACACCATAAAGACTGGTTGATGAATTAAAGTAGGAGTTTAGTAAGATGTTTCATAGTAGTTCAGACAAAGCACACACCATTAAATGTTGAAATCTAACTGATGCATTATGTAATCCAAATACTAACAACAAACTGCCACAATCCACTTCCAATAGTCCATACACAACTTAGTGGAATCATCCTTTTTCTTCACAAGTACAACAGGTGATACTCATGGACTAGTACTCAGTAGTTCCACTCCTTGTTCCTTCATGGCTTTTATCTTTTTGAAATTATTAGCCTGTTTTGTAAGTGGAAATCATCTGGTTAAATGACATATTAAGGCTGCATCTCCAGTATAAATCTTGAGAAAATTATTTGCTTGACCTAAGTCATGAGGTTCACTTGACAAGGTGTTTTGATAATCCTTAAGCAAATTATGTATTATCTGGACTGATCAGCTGTAAGACCTCCACAACTCTGGTCATATAGCTCTTGTGAGGTGGTAAGCTGATCTTATGTACGAATTTGACACTGGACTCCCTATACTCTTTCCTCCAAGATGACTACTACTGTACAGACTCATGTTTTGCAAAGTCCCATTCAGATGTGACTCAAACTGTATGGTTTGTTGTGTTCATGGCCCTAATATTAACATTTTCCTTACCTGAAAATGTATTTCAGATAGGTTACCTCTCTGTATCACTCAGAGCTATTACTCAGGGCTCAACTGTGATAAATATTCTGCACATGCCATGAGCCTTGAACAAACTCCAACCCCTACATGTGTCTCATAATGCTTTAGCCCTCCATCAATAATTAGGCAACACAATCTCCATGTGCAACAATCTCTGTGAGTGATAGCACATGATCAAAGACTCATTCTTGATGAGGCAAATGAAATATACTGGAAGTGAGGAGGTGTTGCAGATAGGTAAGCAACTTTCTGAAATAAGTTTTCAGGTGAGGAAAATGTTAACTCAGAAGCTTTACTTACCTTTTTGCACTGCTAAGAGCTAGAATTCCACACTGAAGATGGTGGAGGGGCCAGTGCTGGTCAATTACAAAGTTGAGTTACTTTCTCCAATAGTGATAGAAATGGAAAGTCAATGAGACGTGATTTCCATGAGAGCAGAGGTTGCCTAGCGAAGCAGCAGAAAGTGGAAGATCATATCCTTTTCAAGTAGGGTATACTCTTTGCCCAATATTTTTTTTGTTTGCTTTTGTTCTGAAATAGTAGAGCAGAGGATATCAGGAAAATCCAGTGCTGGTGGTTACATGTTGCCAAGACGGGCAGAAACTTGAAATGTGTAGTGTGGCTTTAGCCCATTCTGTCTTAATCAAATACATGAGATAGATACTATAGTGACAGATGGTGAGAGAAGCCCTCACCTATATCCCCAAGGCAAATCCAAGTCTCATTCAGTTGGACATATCCACATGGAATTGCTTTGCAAATATTGAAATTGGGGTGTTCTGTACTAAAATTCCAGCCCTATATCTTAAATGAGGGGTGGACCCAACCAGTAAATTGCTCAGGGCGGAGCACTACTCACAGAGGAAACTGTCCATATCAACTTCCACAGTAGCTTAGGAATGGGGAAGTTCCCCCTGTGCTCCACTAGAACAATGGGGGGGGGGGGGTATGTGTAAAGGAAAACACCAGAGTCTGTGTGTTGAATCACTATTATCAGGCTTAATGAGCTGGAATTGGATCATTGGATCCTCACCAAAAACAAGTGCACTGGGTTACTACAGCTAGAGGCAGCAAGTGAAACCCAAGAATAAAAGCAGGACTACACCTAATGCTGTCTACTATTTTTTTTTTTTCATAAAAGGTGCAGTTTTACAGTCTTACAGAAAACCCTATCTTGACGATGAGCACTGAGCAAGGGGAGTTGAGTTTAACACTTTTTTACTCTCCCACTCAATGCAGATTTTGAGCAAATTCCCTGTGAAGCAATGCTGGCTACTTGGTAGGATTCAATGACACCAAACATAATTAATGCAATGATTAGTTCCATGGTACATGAGCATTTAGTCTGTTTCTTCCTTGTGTTTTTCCCCCACTTTGATGTGCTTTATTTTATTTTTCAGATCTGTATGAAAAGATCAGTTCACAACACATGGTGTCATGAAATGTATCAGGGACATGGAGAACAAACAAGATCAGTAACAGAACTGGAAACTAAAATCAACAGGAAAAATGGCAGAAAGCAAAAAAAAGAGCACATAAAAACATCCAGTGGATGGAAATCATGGGAGATGAAAGCGTAAGGTGTAAAGTACATACCAGTCTTGCAGTCTCCAGTGGTCAGCTTTGAAAGAAAGCTGGGATATGCCGAATCTGATAAGTTGACAAACCCAACTGATGGAAGTTGAAGTGGATAAGTCCCTAGAGAAGGAGGTAAGCTATGGAAAAAACAGGTGAAGGTATAATAAAGAAATAGAATGGAGAGAAATGGAAGAAAATCACCTATCACCCTCCCAGGTAGCCTAAGTCTCTTTGGAATAAAAAAGTGGTCAGGAAACATATCAGTCAGTCCTCATGATAAAGAGTATAGGAGACTGTAAAGGCATGAATGACTGAATAATGATGACAAACAAAAAGAAGTAATAGGTGAAAAATAGGAAATAGTGCAAGGCAAGAAAAATTGTGTGGATAATGCCACTCACTTACTAGCAGTTATCAAAATGGATGGGCTTTTAACAAAAACTCATGTACTGCATAGGTTTTAAAAGTGAGATCCTCCTTGGTGATTGGTGTAAGAAACAAACGTAGAAGTGTTGGAATGTATTATCATAAGATAACCTAACAACCATGATCAAAGATTTTGGCAAGCCTCAAAAGTTTCAGACATCACCAGAACATTGATAAGCAGAGATGACACCACTGGAGAAAGTACAGATGTCAAGAACCATAAATCCCAAATGGAAGGGAAGACTGGTAGAAAGATGCAAGTTGAGCACAGAAGGGAATGGAAATATCCCAAGTTGTGTTAGCATGACTGAGCCTCAACAACAGAGAACGATGGAAAAATGAATAGAGAAACAAGAGCAAATAAGGAATTACAGGAAATGTGTCACAAATCCCTCAGAGCCCATTGAAGTGGATGCACATGTAGAGAGAAGCCTGTCTCCTAATGCAAGAGAACCTCTCATGCAGAAAGAGATGGAGTGTGATGAATCTTTGATACCAAGAACTCTATGACTTGAAGATGCAAGAGAGAGATGGTTGAGCCTGCCTCATACAAAAATCAAGAAAACTTCTAGAAAAATGTTAAAGACAGAAAAAGGAGGTAAAGTACAAAAACAAGAACAGACCTAAAGAAAGAATTTGCACAACTCAAGGGTTGCCAATGAAAGGTGAGCAATGAAGAAGAGGTAGGAATTGAAGGCTCCAGAGCCAAGAATTAGTTCAGAGGAATGGTTACCACTGTGTCTTGACAGTTCATCCAGTGGGAGGGTAAACATCAAGCAGAAATGGTAGGAACAGGAGAAGAACAGCCCATGGTACTACTGAGGTCAGATAGCCAACTGAGGTATCTGTAGTCAAGTGAGGTGAGAAATCAAGGAACTGAAGGAAGGCTGTTGGCAAGCAGCCTCAACCCAAGATACCAAGAAATCAGGAACACCCCAAAAGCTGATACAGTGAGAAAAGCAGCAAAACTTAGGTCAAGGAGAGAGGAGGAAAGAAGGCAGATTTTCAAAAGGAAAGCATCCAGACTAAAGAGATCCCAAGAATAGAGAAACAAAGTCAATGTTGAGATAGAAGAAGAAGAAACAAATGTCAGAGTTATAAATATATAAATAAGAGTGAGAGGCCCAAGAAACTATCAGGGTCACAATGAAATGAGGAGGTGAAAAAAAAAAGAGAAAAAGAAGAAAGAAGAGTGACCCAAGCAGAAAGAAGGGATAGAAGAAATATAGAAGGGTTGTGACCTTAGGCCATAAACAGGAAGATGGGGACGACAAGGAATAACAGCATTATTCAATGTGGAAGTGAAACAGAAGTATGTTCATGAAGTAAAGTAACTCAGACAAAAGAGATAGAAAGCCACATAGCAAACAGTAAAGAAGATACCTGTTCCTCATCACAGAAGAAAAGGATGGAGTTGAAAGAGCTGGCCAAAAGCATCCACAGGCAAGGCAGGCTCCATAGAAGGCGATGAAACAGAACAACAAGGGACTTGAACTGGAGAAGTAGGCAGATGGGAACCAACCACCTGATGCATGATAGCAGTAACATAATATTTTTGAAAATGTCAGCAGTGAACATGATATCATATCATGATTTATCACAACTCTGTAAGATTGTGATAATTTATTATTTTCAGTACCTTTCCATGGATTGAAACTAAAACCTGTCACACACACCAGTCATTAACTCTACAAAGTGAGCTAAAAGGAAAACTATTAAATTTCAGCTCCATGAACAGATAAAACACCCTTGGGCACCATAGACTAATTTGGAAAAAATGACAGAAGAAAATCACTTGGGCCTTGGGATGTTTTTTATTTATTTTTTATGCAATCATTGTTTGAAGTAGTGCAAAGTGTATAGAACAAAAATGTAATGAGGAAAAAAGTAATGTGGTACTAAATAAAGAAAAGCAATTAGAAACTCTAAAAGCACAGGAAAAACATATCTGAACACAGGAAACGCTAAGGAAAAAATGAGTGTATGATCGTGTGCTAGTGCTCACAGGGATGGAGATTGACAGAGAGGTACAGCATTATGACAATTACATCATAGGCTGGTGCAATACATGTGGGCTCACATAGAGATGGGAGTTTGTTCAAGTCTTCTGGCATATGTAGAGAATTCCATAGCATTCACATGCAAAATAACAGCTCTCAGTGGTGCAGTGAGATAAGTAACATTCTGAAGATAACATCTATATCCTTCAGATCCAAGAGAACTCTACCAACCATTAATATATCAGAATATGCTGATGTACTATACCAAGTGTAATTTTATTTTTGATGCATTGTGGTATGAGTATATCACTTTTTGGTGACTGCTCTCCTTTTTGTCATGGGAAGTTCAACTTTTGTTGTAGTAACTGTCATGTAGAGCATAGAGGATTCCTGGTCATAAACTGAAAATCTATATCCGAGCATAAAGACAGTTCTAAATATGCACTCTTCCTCAATATCAATTACTTACACATTTTGAGGCATAGAGAAGTTTCTTACAGTAAGTGTAACTTCTAACCTTCCTCTTTCTGGAACTTCATGTCAACTTGCTGTTTGCATCACTCCCTCTTCTTTCTTAATCACTGGAAGCAATTTCCAACCTATCATTATCAAATTAGACTGAACTATCATATCTGTAGAACAAATGTCAATCAGCATACTGAAAGGCTTCTTATCAATAAACCCACAGATTCATGGACTGATTTCTTTAAATAATGAACTTCTTACCTCATTTGGAGCAGATGGAGTATTCTTAGTTGAAATTTGCTCCATAAGTTCAACTAACTCCTGTTTCTCAATGTCTGGTGAGTCTTTTGTTGTTCCTTCAACCTGGTTGGGCTCAAAAACTTGTCCTGAGGATTTTGTCTTCAAGGTGTACTAACATCTGTCTCAGCTGTAATGGCTATGTTTCTTACATCTATAACAGTTCCTTTCTTGTGATAGGTAATAAGAACTCCCAAAGGATAAAAGTTTTTGTCTGCAGTTCCTAACAATATGTCATTCCAAGTTACATTTGAAACACCTATTGTGGTTTATTTTCTTCATTCTGTGTAACTAGTTGTTTAACTAATCCTTTTAATTCTCCTAGATTATCATCAGTGGAAATTGATATTTCAATACTACTTGATGTGACGATCCCATAACTTCAAGATGGTGTTTAACTATGACTTTAATGGATCCTAGTTCAGTCGCCAACTGCTTAACTTTCTTTAAAGATGTACACCTACTTCACTTCAGCCTAATTCACATATGCTCATCTATTAAGGTATCCATAAATTGGTCACATACCAATGAAACTACTATTTTACAAGGAGTATCAAAGTAAGATAATTGGTTAAGTTGCTTAAGACCTTCTGGACATTTGGATAATGTCTCTTCTTTCTCCTCTATAGTCTATTTCAGATACATCCTCAGGATAGTTCCTTCTCATGTGTCACTCCAAACCTGATAGATAAAGCAACTACCAATGATAGATAATTATTACAAGTTTAAGCTGGAAAGATTACTTAATGTCATTAAAGCTGGTACTTTTAAATAGGCCGCAATATGGGTAACTTTTTGTTAATTTTTCCACCCATTCATTCTGGAAATGATATGACTCCTATGATATCTTCTCATCACAGTCCATTGGTTTCTCAATTGGCTGATAGCGAACTGGCCAGCTATATTCTAGAACTTCATTTGAAAGTGTCATAGATGACACAATAGTAATAGTAATAGGTTTAGACCATATAGGTTTTGCTATTCCATATTTAGCAACAAATGGTATTTCAGATTAAAACTCTTCAGTAGATTGAAAAAGAAGTGTGGCTGACTTAATATTTGCATTTAATAATTCATTTTCTAGATGTTTTATTTTGTCACTGATTTTATTTTCTACCTCATTAACTCTTTCAGCACGAGTTCGGTCCCTGGGACTGACTAGTAACTATTTTGTGCTTGTTATAGTATTCACACTATAACTTCTAAATTAGTAAGCACAAGTTCACAAAATTTTGCAGATCATTAGTAAACATTAAAATGTTTTCATACACAAAATATATTTTTTTATTTAGTCCTAAGGTTTTTACAGCATGCCTTTATTTTATTTTCACATGTTGGCTATCCAACATGCAAAGTAATTTTCATTTTAAGAATAAAAACATTTTTATGTATCAGAAAATTTTCAAATCTCAAATGCAAAATCTTTATAATGTCCAGATAGTTATCAAACATTTCTTAATAAAAACTATCTTTTATCTGTTATTTTCAATAAAGAATTTCTGTATAGGTTTGATAGATTTAACCAATCTAGTAGCCACCATAAAAGATTAGGAAATAAATATAAGTTATGCATTTTTCATTCTAGAATGACAACATATTATAACACAAAAACATATATGTTTAGGCTAAATAGTTTAAATCTCATATCATTATACATTTATAAATATTTATTATTTTTATTATATTGACCTTTCAGCCATGCCTGGCTAATAATACAGAAGTTACAAATGACGTGGCACACGTACACTCATGTTACCGTATTCCAATGATATAAAACTGACCTTTAGTCTTTACAAAGTAACCTGTCTTGGCTGTGTTTTAGTGGACCAGTATTTTGTAAAATACAGTCACATTTCAGTTATTATACATTATATATGTATATAGATTATTACTATTTACAAACAAGTTCATAAACTTATTTTTCTTAAAACATAGAACAGTAAATAAAGTAAAGGAAACAATTATCTCTTCCAGTTACGACATTTGTACTTGGTGCTGCTTGTCGTAGCTTGCTAAGCCTTAAGAAATTTCGCATGTGGAAAATGTGAAAGAAAATCATTTTTTCTAGGTTTTATATATATACTTTTGAATAACTAAAAAATCATAAATTACTATATAAATACCATAGAATTCCATTATAATTTATCAAGCTTAGTAACTAAGCTGTATTTTGATCTAACAAAATATGCAATTTTCGAGAAGACTAAAGACACAACCTACCTCCTTGAAATCTTGGTTCGAAAGAACAAGATGGCATCGTAAAAATTTAAAATGGCTGAGAAAGCCACTAGGGGGACATTCTGAGTTTTCGATTGGTTATTCATGTTATATATATAAATGTATATGACGGAGCGTTTCCAAAAACAAAAAGAGGTGGGCAGGAGGGCCACTGTGTTTGCTTCAGTATATGAACGATATCTTTGCAAATAGAAATATGTGGTTCTTATTTTATATTTTAGCTTGAGTTCCTAATTCGTATGAAACTATAGACTTAGCATTTTGACATCACAAACATCTAATTTGAACCAGTGCTGCATTCAACATACCACGTGACACACAAAAATCAAGGTTTAACTGTGTTTTTTAAATATTTATTTTTAAATTAAGAAATTGAACAATGTATAATACTAAAATTTGAATTATAATCTACAGTTTGATACCAAACTTGACATAAATTCATGGTATAGTAGTTCAATAAAATTTTGAATGCGAATCAACAAATGCAATGACATGGCCTTTGACTCATGACCCATCCGAAAAAGGTTAATGTCTTTCTTTATTTTGTTCACGTCTTTTTGTACTTCTTCAATTTTGCCATTACAGCCCTTCCATACTTCTTTGATGTCTCTCTGTACTTCACTTTTGACTTTGTTGATGTCCTTTTGTTCTGCTCCAATCTTATTCTTGTAATCTCTCTGTATATCTCCAATAGCTTCATCAATTTTGTCTTTAATCAGATTTATTTTCAATTCTTCTTTAAATAGTACATCTCTTTTTTTTAACTTCTCTCTTAAATTCCTGTCTCTTACCTATTTATCATCTTTCAGTTTTCTTGGTCTTCTTTTAATTTTCCATTTTTTCCTCTACTTTTCTGTCTCAGTCTTCTAATTTTTGGTCTCTTTCTTCTTATTCTTCTTGACTTTCATTCAACTGTTTCATCAACTCTAATAAACCTCCAATATCATCTTGTAAAATCATCATGAAAATTGAAGTTTATATTTCATTTTATTTTCACCAAAATAATTCAACTTCTTACACCATCATTATAATGTGTTTCTTTCATTGGTGGGTAGTTTTCAATTATGTGGTGAAAATAATTCAAGGTCTAGTCTACATAACAATAACAAATTTATTTCTTTGTTAACATTTCTACAAGCTTATACATGTTTTGACTTGCAGACCTAATTTTACAAATGGTACTATAAGTAAACTTACTTTTAAAATTTCATGATTAATCAATCGAGCAACTGAGAATATGCAGTAACTCACACTGATCCACACACTTCACTAAAACTAAATACACAAAAGACTGACTAACACTTGATCAACAACTACTCAGCAATCACACAATAAAAACTTCACTTTGGCATTCACTGTTTCTTCACTTTACTATGTAGTATTTATAACTGGGGTCTTGCTTCTAGATATTTATCGAAGTTACTAAATTTCTTGGACATTATTTACAATATTCTAGGTATTTATGATTAATGTCATTTGTCTCTATCTAACATCTAAATTGGAACATTATAAAAAAAAGCTTACAGTAATAATGACAAGAAAACTGTAGTATTTATGTACTAAAACTAATATTAATAAAGCAAAATAGAATTTGGCATTACACCACACAAAACATATATTTTATGTCATACAAAATTATGTTATTGCATTTTCCTATAACAATCTTTCTTTGAGATGCTTATACTTTTAAAACTAATTAAGCAACTACTGGCATGTTTCAGTTGTATACTTTCTCACTACAACTTACTTACTTTGTTGTTGAGGTTGCTGACTGTAAGCATAGGGTTGTGTTGCTGGTGTCATAAACATTGTTTGTTGTGCTGGTGGTGCATTATATTGAGATGTTGTACTATAGGGTTGAAGCCTATGATACTGAAAATAAATAAGCAAAATCAAATCAGATATAAAGAGAAATGTCAATCTACACTATGAATTAACACATATTTGGCACTGTGTCACTGCATGACAAATATGCCAAAGAAATATAAAGCTTTGTAGCAGAAGAATTATAAGTTGTTTTCAGTACTTTGTGTAATATGGATGTATGCTTAAACTATTAAGCATCTTTACAACCAAACAAAACTTACAATCTTTTTCACATTCCCTTCTTAATATCATAAGTAAGAGTTATAGATTTAGGAAGAATGTAAAAAATGACTACAGTAAATACAAGAAAAATTTGTAATATGGAAGTAACAATTCCATGAAAGTTACATGCTCATTGTGATATAAATATGTTATTATTGGTTGTACCAATACATTAGTCATTCACTGTTTGGAACTGCTATGCTAGTTGTGTCAATCCTAAAAAGGAAGGTGAGCAATGGCCTATTAGAATGAAAACTGCCATCCTTGAGGTCAGCACACACACTGGCTAGTATAATATAAAGGTACCTTCCAATTGTAAAAACGATTGAATGACACAGGACCTTAAACCTACAAGCCCTGCTAACTAGGCATCTCAGTGTTGTTTCCACCCCCTCTAGCAGCATCGCTGCTTCTGGATTTGTTAACCTACACATTATGTGAGGCACTATATGGCAGAACTTTGAGATGCAAGTTGTGTTGGCCATTGATCTAATATCAGAGTTTTATCCATACTAATGTTATATACAGTTAGGATCGAGGTGGTTAACAGTGGAACTGACCTTACCGACTGAGTTAGTTCCTATTTCACAGCGACAGCTGAACATAAAACAAGTTCGCTCTAACATTAGTGATAATTATGGACTTGTACTTATATTCCACTTATAGTAACTCTTACTGCTATTAAAATTAAACATAAGAGAAATAAATAACACATAGTGACACTGTATCAAGACTATACATGAACACATGTTAATAATGTAACAGCAAAAACAAAACACAAACTAATTCTGCATTTAAAACTAAGATAATCTAAACTAACCTACAATGTTCTAAAACATGTCACACTGTATTTATACTTGTAACTTAACAACTGGGAAGTGTAATTAAATCCATATATAATTATGTGGTAAATTAGTACTCATTAATAAAGCTAAAAAAATCTCTCACCAACTTGTAGACCATTATAAAAATTAAACACTAAGCACAGTAGTGCTTAGTATGTAGGGATGGCCCAGGAAAAAAAATGTCTGACACATATTATGCATTGCTCATCACAGTCTCAAATCTCTCTCATAACCATCTAAGAGACTTTTATAAACACCTAACTTAGGTTTTCCTTCAATTTGTCCAAAAAACACTGCTAAAGTAGAAAAACTGGAGGACAGCTAACAGCAAAATGTTCTGCTGATTATTCTGATTCTAGCATCAGAATGGCTAGATCACCAATGTTTGAAGTTACTACGATGATTTACACACCACAATGTTGCATTTTAACTTGGAGAATGCAGAAGCAGTATAGCATTTAACTAACTTCAACACATGATATCCATCAAGACAACTCATCATGCCAGGCTAAAACTGTTGCCTTCATAACAATATTGACTAGTTTAAAAAAAAAAGAGAGAAATAAGTAATAAAAGGTTTTGAAAAAATAAGGATGACATTGGGATGGCAATGCCAAAAAGTACAGAAACAAAGTAG